TATTCTCTACTTAAACAAATATTATTTCCACCATCATCATTTCCATTCATCATCTTTTACTATTTATTTTTATACAGTATTAAATTATTGGATTATATTAATTCATTAATTAATATTTATTTATATTTATATGATATTTTATTTTATATTTATTTTAAAGGTGAATTTTTCTAATGAGAGGTCTGCCATCTGCTTGACTCCATGGAGACATCCTTGCTTTGCCTGGAATGTACAGCATTAAAATTACCTTGCATTTGTTTAAATGGGGGAAAAAAAAAAACATTGAAAAACACCCATTCTAACTGAGTGTGAGGTCAGATCTCTCCACAGATTAGTCTCATAACTTGTTCTGTTGGCGTCACTTGCTAACCTCTATGAAGACAAATAACGATGATTAATAACATATTGTGGAACATTCCAGGGAAAGCAGTAGCATCTCCACGGAGACAAGCACGTGGAAGACTCTCCTCCAAAATATTTATAACACACCTTTGGCTCCCTGGCCCTGTCCTGGTGAAAAATGGCACCTCCCGTTGATGTTGATGTTGGATTCCCAGATTTCACCTGGAAAATATAACACCATGAGTTACTGATAAACTGAGTGCAAGCAGGTCAGTAAACCAGGCCAGGATTATTTATGTAAGTAAGAGTATGAATAAAATAAATATTTAGTCAGAGCCAGATTTATCAATTCTAAACTTCAACAGACTTTCTTCTCTTGCCACAGGGTGAGCCAGAGAAACACCAGGAAGGGTTTCCAGACGAAAATCAAAGTCAAATGTAAGATTGACAACAGAAACAAAAAAAGTCCAAATCATTTTAGACTTACTGGCCGATCACAGGGTTGATGATAGGTGCACACTACCTGTTACATTAAAAACACTGATTTTTACTGCATTAAAATGTGAAAAACAAAAGGTGTTAACACAGTTTGCAGTTATCCAAATGTTTTTCTTATGCACTCTTAGCATTCTAATTCTTCACTGTGATGAGTTTATAAGCTCTCTTAACAGCTCTCAGACACCAGTGCAGTTTAACCGTGACAGTAAAGCTAACAACAACTAGAATGCAAATGCACACTTCCTGATTACTGGACAATAAATTGCTCTAACATGTTAAAATGAGATCATGAGAGTACACAGCAGACTTATTTTGAGGTGTTTATACAATATAATCTGTACTAGGGCAAGACAACTACATAAAAAAAAGCATAGACTGTATAAAACAGTGCACCTGACTCCAGTCAAATGAAGCAAGCAGTTATAGGGCGAATCTGTAGCCAAGTTCCATATTAGGAAAAGGAATTTATTTATGGAGAAAATAGTGAAATAAAAAGACCAGAATCAAGTACAGTGGGTTAATACGAACATTTTAAGACCAAAATGACAAGGCTCAGTGCGGCGGTTACAGAAAGAGGGGTGATGATTTTTCAATGTAAAGTCAATTGGAGCCAAATTTGATGGAGCCAGAAGCGCCTCCACGCTCACTTCCTATTTGGGACCCTCCTTGTTTTTTATAATCTGGGAGTATCTGCTTCATCGGCTGTTTATAATGTTAAATAAACTGTTTTTTTCCCTCTTCATCCACCCGAAACTCAACCATTCCTCTTAAAGATTTCCAGCTGCTCCTGTTTATCAGTGACTCATTTTGCCAACTCATTTCTATCTAAAACATCACTAGCACACGTTCAACCCTCACTGCCCTGTGTACTGACAGGCACACTCAAGATAAAACGCATTAGACTCACTAGAAAAACACACTTAATCCTCTCCACCAATACACCTTGTAGTTTTCCAATGAAGCTGCAGGGGACAAGACAATGGCACATACCCAGATTTCAGCCAATAAAAATGTTTGATAAATTACTCATTCACAATAGCGCAGAATTTGGGGTAAAAGTTCAGACTTGCCAGAGTGAAAAAAACACAAGTCTACTGCGTCACGGGTTGGCTAATATCAATATTCTAAAGTGCCCATCTTCGGTAAAGCTGCAAGCCATTTCCATGAAGTCAAACATATAAAATGCTCATAATTGTGCCCAGAGCGGAGAGAGGGCGATTTTAATAGACCATGGAATTGTTTTATTTGAAATAGTTCAGGCTCACTTAGTTTAATCCTGTCTAATTATTTAGAACGTAAACAACAAACTTCTCTGTATGTTGAGAATGAATGCCATACTGACCACTGCACTAAAGAGCTCCAGGAAAGTTCATTCTGACTCTTAATATCTTGACTAATCATGCCTAATCGGATGTTTATGTAAAGAAAAGAGGCTTTGTTTGTTCAATTAGTTGTATATTTTTGGATGTGTTTCATTCGAGAGCAGATTATTACGGCTGCCAAGGAGGTGGAGAAAAAAATAAGTAAAGCCAATATTAGTATTAGGTTTTTAGAAAGGGTCAAGCAGCAGGACAAATAATACGAGTTGCCAAAAAGGTACCGCCTTCAACCACCAAAGGCCAAGCACCATTCATTATGAAGCCTTAATTTGATCAATTAATAATGTGAGCCATAGCTATCAAAGTTTTAACCCTGTAAAACTCGTCTTTGACTCGACTTTTTGCATGCTCATGAGTATTTTTTACATTACAAATCACTTGAAGACAATGATCTAAGGTTGCTCTCCGTGAAGATGCCATTGCTTTGCTTGAAATGTTCCACAATTTACAAATCAGATCTGTGAAAAGGCAACACTACTGAGTAAGAATGTATGTATCAGCGTGTTCGGTAAATACCATGATAGATAGAAGTTTAATGCCAGACTTTGAAATATTACTGGCAAGGCAATAAAATAGGGACAAGGAAGTGTAGAGCCCCCAGCTAGAAAGTTACAAATTGCACAATCGACAAGTTTACTGTCTCATTTTTGTGGAATAAGACGTGTTACAAATGCTCCCTACAGACTGGATTTCTACTTAAAAAATCCATCCCCAGCGACCTCTTATCATGTGCAGGTGCTGGTATAGCTCTCACTATCATGTTGAACAGAATCAGAGTCTTTCCGTCGCCCACTGTTGTGTCTGACGGCATATGAGAACGATGGGAACGCGTTACTAGGGAATGGAGAAGCACAAACACAGTCTATCTATGGGCCTGTTTCCGCCTTGGCCCGGCCTCTCTATAACATCCATTCATTCAAACTGAGGCGAGAGCAGTGTCTTGTCAGTTTCACCTCCCACGCTATGACTCCACGGACACGCCCACCTCCATGTTCAGATCTGATGTCTCTACTAGCCCCTGCAGTGAAACCAGACCCCGCTTAAGGCCCCAAGAGGCTTCCTCTGGCTGTTCAACAGACTAAAGGAACTGGAGGCATTAGAGGCTTATCACTTCTCGTAATCCTGTGTTTCAGCGACTAGTAGTAAATATGCCATGCTCCAAAGCCGTAAGGTCTTCACAGGATCTCAGGGTTGAGGAACAGGAATCCAGATGTGGTATGTCCCAACACAGTCTGGCTCCATATATTTCGGCTATTTATAGCGCCAGCCTCTGTTTTGAGGACATCACGGTTCTCAGGTTTCCCTCGATTTCCAGAAGCTTTTTATCTTCTGTCACACGCTCACTCTAAGGTTGAAGCAAAGCACCACTAAACATGCTTTTTACAAATTTTTACACAAAACATTAGAGGAGCATAAATCCTAAAGTTGAAAAAACTTTTACTGAGGCCAACACATAAAAGGTCAAAGGGCACATGCTCTCTAAACATGAACCTGAACTTTCATTCAAAACAAGACAAAGCTATGTTAGAAATGCACATAGCGTGAACTTAAACGTGACATTCTCCTGGAGTCATGTTTCGGGATGCAAAAATTTATAATAGTATTAGACACAAATGGAAAAAAGAGGTTCAGTAATTTTTGAAGAAACATGGATGGCTACACAAATACTAAGCTACTATTAATGTGCTTAAAGTTAAGTAGCCCATGAATACCATACCATAAAAGTTGCAGTCTTGAAACAATTATTTTAAAATATACTAGTAAACCTATAAAGTTATAATATGAGCAAAGTGGATCAGTTTTATACCATTATATAAAAAAGGGTACAGATCTGTGCACCATCAGTCTCAAAATTCTAGCTATTATATTTAGGAAAGGAGAAGGGGAAGCTGGAACAGCACTGAATACTTAAAAGAGCCACATTTTCAAGCACGTGTCCCTCTAGTGGCCACACTTGAAACTACAACTTAAAGGAGCATCATAAAACATTTGGATTTGTAGCAAATACAAAATAAAAATTGCATTCTGACAAAAAACTTTGTACAGAAACTTATCAAGGATCATTAATCTATTTGTATCTCATTATTTGTTGTTTTAGTCCGTCATGTTTTATCTATAGATTCATTTCTTCACATTCTTAAGCATTAAAAAGTAACAAGTTGCACTATGTATTTTTTTGTATAACGCTGATTTTTTTTTTAAATAGGTAGGTTATTTATTTGCCTAGAATGTTCCACAGTATGGCAATAGACTAAACTATCTCCATGGAGACAGCAGATAACACCACTAGACCAAAGTTGCAGTCAGATCTATTGAGAGTTGATCTTGTTTTTAATGTTTTTTTGTTTTGTTTTTTTCTTTTTTAGCTCTAAGATATGGTTAATTAAAGCAATGCATCACTGATAAGTTTCAGACAAAGCAATAACAACTCAACTGATCTTCTAAGACTAAATATGTTACATGGTGCACATTTAAGGACATGTCCCGTATAAGTGTCATTTGTCCTGATACTATTAATTGTGTCTTAATTTGACCGGAAGCGACCACTTGGCTCAGGCGCGTGGATGAAATATTTGTCCGGTGATGAGGGCTTGGCTGCGGAATGCATTTTTCCCTTGTGTGTGCGTCTCGGATATTACTCCGACTGGCTCTGAGGTAAGACAGCGGAACGCCCCTTTGCGCTCGCACTGCGCTCCCATTGGTTCACGCACAGACTCAGGAATGTCCTTAAAACGTTTAAATAGCACATCTATGAGCGGGATAAGGCAGTAGAATAAGAACTAGTAACAGGATAAAGAAGAGGAGACGCGTTACCTCTAACGGGATATAGCACTTTCACTTTAAAAATACTTTTTGAGGGGCATTTTATTTAAACAGGTAAGAACCAAATTCTCTTTTTCTTATTTTAAAGATTGAGACATTAGAGGTAATTGACTGTATTTTGTTGTTAGGTACCAATTGAGATTTGACAATGATGCTGTGCGGCATCTTTCTGCTTTTGATGCTTTGGAGTGGAGAGGGGGCGAGACTAGCAGGTGAGGATGAAGACTATTTGTTAAATTTACACTTTTGTTTATTATAGAGGGCTAATATTTAATCATATGGTTTTCTGACAGAGACCCGTGATGATAATAGCGTGTATGACTTGTTCGACCTGGCAAGAGTAAACAAGAAACAAAACGGAGTGAGCCTGGTGAAAGGCGCTGATCCATACAGCCCTGCATACAAAGTTCTGAACGCAGACCTGATCCCCGCCGTACCGGACAACGCGCTCCGGGACCTGCTCGACTCCATCCAAGCCGAGAGAGGATTCCTGCTCCTGGTCAACCTCAAGCAGTTCAAAAAGACCCGGGGCAGCCTGCTGACGGTGGAGAAGAGCGACGGTTCCGGGCCCGTGTTTGAGATCGTGTCCAACGGCAGAGCGAACACTCTGGACCTGGTTTACTCCACCGCGAGCCAGCAGCAGGTCGTGTCCATAGAGGAGGTGGACCTGGCCACGGGGCACTGGAAGAACCTCACGCTGTTTGTGCAAGATGACCGCGCTCAGCTGTTTGTGGGCTGTGAGGAGATCAATGCGGCCGAGATGGACGTGCCAATCCAGAGCGTGCTCAGCCCAGACGTGGCAGACATCGCCAGGCTCAGGATTGGAAAGGGAGCCGTGAAGGACAAATTCATGGTGAGTTACTTTACTATTACTATGACTATTATATGTAGGTAGTTAGTAATGACTAGTATACTGTGACTGCTGTTGTATTGCACTTGTTAATAAATGTGAATGTGATTTTTAGGGAGTACTTCAGAACGTGCGTTTTGTCTTTGGCACCACTCTTGATGCCATACTGAGAAACAAGGGATGCCAGAATGGAGGTATTTACACAATCCCAGTGAATATGCACAGAATTATAAAAAGCATATAATGTTTTCAGTAAACTCATGAAGCTGTCCCTGCCTGCCTCTGCAGCTGCCATCACTGATGTCATGACCCTGGACAACCCAGTCAATGGCTCCAGCCCTGCCATCAGAACTGACTTCATGGGCCACAAATCCAAAGGTGAGAGTGGTGCTGCAGATTATTTGTGTGCAAACCCATGTGTACACAGCCCTGTAGAGCTCTGCTAATGTGTCAATATGTCTCCTCAGATGTGCAGTCCGTGTGCGGTCTCTCCTGTGAGGACATCAGCAGCATGTTCAAGGAGCTCAAAGGCCTTGGTGTGGTCGTCAAACAGTTGTCCACTGAGCTGCGTAAAGTGGTAAGACCTCAGGCTCTGCTCTTTGTCACTACTTTTTCCACTGTTGCCATTACACACAGAGCCACTTGTCGCTTTAATGGAGAGTGCCCGCCAAGCTCCTAATGAATCCCATGTGAATATACAAATATGTTTGGCAGAGTCGTGCATTCGCACTGCATCGCTAGAGTCAAGCAATGTCTTAATCACAATGTCGCTCTGTGGTTCATTTTGTATTGGAACCTTGGCAAAGTGAAAGTTTCCACTTTCAGTCCAGCATCATAATCCCTTCTCTTTTCACTTTTTCTTCCAGTCTGAAGACAGCAATTCTTTGATAGCCAGACTGGCTATCCAGAATGGAGTGTGCCTCCACAACGGCATCATGCACAAGGACAAAGATGAATGGACTGTGGACGGCTGCACTGAGTGCACCTGTCAGGTACGGCTCATACTGTCTCTGGAGTGCTTAGCTCCTGCTTACACCTGTCAGCACAAGAGCACAGCAGTGTGAGGCCTTTAGTCTCATTATCAGGTCACTACAAAGTGATTCTGTCTGGGTAATTAGCTGGGTGATGAGTGAGTGGCAGTCAGGTTTATGTGTTCTAACAACACAGTTAAAGTGTCAGGTTCCTGATAAAATCATCCCCACTCAGAAAAGCAGCAATTAGTCTTGGACCACTGCCAGAGGGCTGTGTCAAGTCAGTAAGCCATTAAGTCATTATCCTGTAATAATGTGAGTATTCTTTACAGAACTCTGCCACTGTCTGCCGTAAGATCTCCTGCCCCCTGATCCCCTGTGCCAACGCTACTGTGCCAGATGGAGAGTGCTGCCCTCGCTGTGGGACTGGTAAGTCTCTCTTTCCACATTTTAGTCATAAAAAAAAAAACTGAACAAAACTAAATCTAAAATCTATGTACTGTTCTTACAGCCAATGATTACCCTGAAGACGGCTGGTCTCCCTGGTCTGACTGGACTCACTGCTCTGTGACATGTGGGCGGGGCATTCAGCAGCGTGGCCGCTCATGTGACCGCATCAACAGTAACTGTGATGGCACATCTGTGCAGACCCGCGACTGCTACCTGCAGGAGTGCGACAAACGCTGTGAGTTAATGCTCCAAGAGAGGAGGAAATATATATGTGTTTGAGAATACTGAATACTGACCTGTGTGTGCTTCTTACAGTCAAACAGGATGGAGGCTGGAGCCATTGGTCACCCTGGTCTTCCTGCTCTGTGACCTGTGGAGAGGGTGTCATAACCCGTATCCGCCTGTGCAACTCCCCCACACCACAGATGGGAGGCAGGGACTGTCAGGGAGAGGGCCGCCAAACTGAAGTCTGCCGCAAATCACATTGTCCAAGTAGGTTACTTTACAACTTCTGATAACATTGTACATGTGTTAAGGCACATATAAAATAATAATATATTTGCTTTTATAGTTAATGGTAACTGGGGTCCCTGGTCACCATGGAACAGCTGCACTGTTACCTGCGGTGGAGGAGTCCAGATGCGGAAACGCCTGTGTTCTGACCCTGTGCCCAAATATGGAGGAAAGGACTGTGTTGGTGATGCGACTATGACTCAGCTGTGCAACAAACAAGACTGTCCAATTGGTAAGCACTGCACACACAGATTATCCACAACATCCTCTCTTTTGGTTTGGCAGTGAAAATAACTGAGATTTCTTTTACAGATGGTTGTTTATCCAACCCATGCTTCCCTGGTGCTAAATGCACTAGCTCCCCTGACGGCTCATTTAAATGTGGTAAATGTCCTCTGGGCTACACTGGGAACGGAATCACCTGTAAAGACATAGATGAGTGCAAAGAGGTCCCTGATGCCTGCCACACACATAACGGAGTGCACCGCTGTGAGAACACAGAGCCTGGATACAACTGTCTGCCCTGCCCCTCACGCTTCTCTGGACCCCAGCCTTTCGGAAGAGGAGTGGAGCAGGCAACAGCTAAAAAACAGGTTTGAAATACTGCTCTTAAATCAGAGCTTAAGGCTAGCTGGGGAACCACTTGCAAGTTTTAATTCTATATCATTTGCTTTAGGTTTGCACGCCCCGTAACCCGTGCAAAGACGGTAGCCATGACTGCAACAAAAATGCAAACTGCATCTACTTGGGCATCTTCTCGGACTCCATGTACCGTTGTCAGTGCAAGCCGGGCTACGCTGGAAACGGACACATCTGTGGAGAGGACACTGACCTGGACGGATGGCCCAACATGGACCTACCCTGTGTGGAAAACGCCACCTACCACTGCAAGAAGGTAGCCATACCTCACACAGTCAGAATACCAAAGTGTACCTCAGATTTACAGTGCATATAATGAGGATTGTCTTTTAAACCGCTTCTTTGCTTTTTTTTATAGGATAATTGTCCCACCCTGCCCAACTCCGGCCAAGAGGACCACGACAAAGATGGCCTGGGCGATGAATGCGACCATGATGATGACAATGATGGAATCCCCGATGATAGGGTGAGTTTGAATTGTAATCTTTTTTTAGCTGAAACCAGGTTTTCCTTATGAAGCCGACACAGTAATCAGCACTAGCCAGCCTTCCTCTGGGCTATAGGAATGTTTCACTTTTGTGTTTCTCAGCACGCACCCCAGAGTTCAATTGTAAAGGCAGAAAGTGTAATATTGTTCTAAAGAAAAGCCAAAATTGAGCAAGGGGTGACTTTTTGCCCATAATTTCTGGTGTGAGTTAAATCTGTGGGAAAAATGCATCGTGGCTGGAAACATCTCTCACTTCCAGAGGAAAATGAAACTCTATACTTAACTAAACAAAGGACCTCTTAAATATTTGAACATTTAAAGTAGAAGCTTTATGTTTATGTATTTATTTTTTATTTAGGACAACTGCCAAAGAGTATACAACCCTGCCCAGTATGATGCAGATCGAGATGATGTTGGTGACAGCTGTGACAACTGCATATTTGAGGCTAACACTGACCAAGCCGACACAGACAGCAACGGAGAGGGAGACGCTTGTGCTGTGGACATTGATGGTGATGGTAAGTCAAACAGTCATGAGATTATTTTAAAAGTAGATAAATAAAAAGCACTGTCTAACTTTTCTTTGTTCAATAAAGGCATTCTAAATGAGAATGACAACTGCCCGTATGTGTACAATGTGGACCAGAGAGATACAGACAGGGACGGAGTGGGAGACCACTGTGATAACTGCCCCCTGGAGCACAACCCTGATCAGGTAACATCCATGACACTGGCAGCTTTCATCTCACACAGGAATGTTTTTCAAAGCTTTGCAATGAGCTTTTCTTCTCAAATATGATTATGATTTAGTCTGAACAGTGGGCACTTGTTTCAACTGAGGCATTGCTATCATACCAGCTGACAAGGAGTTACTTTTAAGTCCCTTTGCATTGTAGCACCTCTTATATTAGGCTGGTGAGAGACACTGAGGGCTTATTTGAAGTGAGGACAGCTTCCTTACAGTGTGCATGAAAGTGTCATCCTAAAGGAATCTTCCTCTTTGCAGATCGACTCTGACGCAGATCGCGTAGGAGACAAATGTGACAACAACCAGGACATTGATGAAGACGGTCACCAGAACAATCTGGACAACTGCCCATACATCCCCAATGCTAATCAGGCCGACCACGACAAGGATGGCAAGGGAGACGCTTGTGACCATGACGACGACAATGATGGCATTCCCGATGACAAAGACAATTGTCGCCTGGCCTTTAACCCCGATCAGCTCGACTCAGATAGTGAGTCACTTTCCCTTCTTTCCAAAAGACTGTAGCCCCATCATCTTTGACATATGTGCTAATCTGTCATTGTTTCATTCCTCCAGATGACGGCCGTGGTGATGTGTGCAAAGATGACTTTGACCAGGACAACGTGCTGGATATTTATGATGTGTGTCCAGAAAACTTTGCTATCAGTGAAACAGACTTCCGCAGATTCCAGATGGTTCCTCTGGATCCCAAAGGCACCTCTCAGATCGACCCCAACTGGGTTGTGCGGCATCAGGGCAAAGAGCTGGTCCAGACTGTCAACTGCGACCCTGGCATTGCTGTTGGTAAGATAATCAGGATACTTATTAGATGCTACTATTGAAAGTACTGTCATTCAACACTATACTAACCATATAATTGTCTTATTCCAGGCTTCGACGAGTTTAGTGCAGTGGATTTCAGTGGCACCTTCTTCGTGAACACAGACAGAGATGATGACTATGCTGGCTTTGTGTTTGGATACCAGTCCAGCTCTCGGTTCTACGCCGTCATGTGGAAACAGATCACACAGACATACTGGTCCCACACTCCCACCAGAGCACAGGGCTACTCCGGCCTGTCCATCAAAGTGGTCAACTCCACCACTGGCCCTGGAGAGCATCTGAGGAACGCCCTGTGGCACACTGGAGACACCCCCGGACAGGTGAGCCTCTCCTCTAAAGCATCAGTTAAAGCGACACAGTTCATGACAGTTATTCTCTATAAAGTCATCAGTTAAAGCTCCACTGTTTAGTTAATGACAGTTAATCATGTGTGGATTTGCTTCTCACAGGTCCGCACTCTGTGGCACGACCCCAAGAACATTGGCTGGAAAGACTTCACTGCCTACAGATGGCATCTCATTCACAGACCCAAGTCTGGACTTATCAGGTATGTTTGTTTACTTTGTCATGAGTCACTAAAAATGTATTTTCTGTTTTGAATGTGAAAGAGCTTACAAGCATTTCTCATATTGCAGAGTTGTGATGTACGAGGGCAAGAGAATCATGGCTGATTCTGGAAACATCTATGATAAAACATATGCCGGAGGACGACTAGGCCTGTACGTGTTCTCCCAGGAGATGGTGTACTTCTCAGACCTCAAATACGAATGTAGAGGTAAGACTTTAAAAATGTTTTAAGAGCGTTTTGATACAGCAGATAACGCAACTCTCCTGAAGATACTAATGTTTTCTTTTGTATCATTCCAGATTCATAAGTGGACCAAAGCGCCTCATAAATGAATGTATATGAAATAAAGTACAAGACCAGGATCAGCATCTCAACATCTAACTTTTCCTAAACAACTGCACTTGGTGGAGAAATGACCAGAGCAAATGAGGTACAGTCACCTCAGGACTTAAAGCCAAATCCAAGTTCAATGATCTCCACCACTGACTATGAACACAAGTGCAGCTGTGTTCAGAAGAAACGTGCCTTCCCCTCCATTAAAGGAGGGCCACATGTATCGCTTTGCACATGATAATCCGCTGTGGACGAGGGACCAAAAGGAAAAGTCTGCCTTATTTTATTTTTTATTTTTAAAACAATAATTATCTGCTGTGGACTCTCTGGACTTTTTAGAATGGGGAGCTAAAGCCCCTTGAAGGAACAGTTGAGGGACCGTGGACAGTATGAACTGACTGTTACTATCAGAGTGAGTGTGTTGTGCATGTGTTAGTGTGGCTGTGGACAATGAAGACTAAAGAGATTTGTAACAACCCCCAGATATAGAGACCACTATGTGGTGTAAGAGCTGGCCCACAGTATTCTTCTCAGGAAAGAGCACTAGAAGAATTAGAAGAGCACAAGTGGAGGACAGCACAGGGCCTGAGCTGGCAATTTATTGCAGCTTTGGACTGTTATTGTGATAAATATTTGTAAATCCTAAATGAACCTGTCAGGGGACGTTAACCACAAGGGCCAGTCTACTTCCTGCCAACCATTTGTACTATCTTAGATTCTACTTCGAGTTACACACAGAAAACAAGACCAGACCTAATGTGTTAGAGTGGCCTCACCCCAGCATCAGACTAATCAGTGCGTGCCTGGTGTGCCTGAGCTTGTGTGTACAGTTATGACAAGGGAACAACAAGAGGGAACCCTAATGTACAAACATTACCTCATTTCTTTTGTATCGAGGCCAGCAATACACGAGAATCACTTGTCTTAACGCAATCAAATGGTTGGCTTCTCGAGTTTAGCAAGACTTTAATATTGTTATGCTGTATATAAGATATTTTTGTAGCAAGAGAAGCCAGAGCTGGAAAGGATGTAAGAAGTGTAAAGTCTATTGTTCTATGTGTATGTTTTCTGTGCGTTTTTTGATAACTTATTGTTTTATATTGGTTATTTCATATTTGTAGATATATGCTATTTAAATAATTTATCTGGAAGCGTGGCCTATTATGGAAGTGCTTCTGTCTGTATAAATTTATTTGCACATTGACATGAGGATGTTATCATTTTGTATGTTTTTTTTTTAATATTAGTGAAGCCTTTCTATAAACATTTGTTCCATAGTTTCTACCCAAAGTGCTGTTTATACTCCAACTTGTGATTTTGTAATGTTTTCAACTGAACAATAAACCTCTAAGAAATATTTTCAGCTCCCTGTAATCTTTGCTCAGCCTTACTTCAGTATCTCGTTTGCCCGAGGTCTTAGGAAAAGCAAAACCCTGCTGTGTCTATGACTGGAATCTATTAGCACAGAGCCCGGAGTAAGGGAGTATCCTTGGGAGTTGACTGTGCAGAGGCAAAAATGAAATATAACGCCCTTAAGCAGCACATCCAAACAGATCCCATTGCACATTACACATGCATCTCCTTACACCTCCCAGTACAACTTCAAACTCTCCAATTTCTCTTACAAAGCCTTCTAAAGCACCAGTAGCAGTCTGACATGCAAAATATCCACCATTATTTAAAAGCGTTTAATAAGACAAATGCTACACTGAGGGTCTGTGTAGATTTTTTTTAACAGTGCTAAAAAGAGTTGTAATCTAACACAGCAGCTCGAAAAGCCAGACTGTCTGCTGCAGGTCTCTTTACATTAGAAGTGACCTCATTCTTACCATAGTGAGCTCACTATGTTTCCATTACCCCAAATGAGGAGCATATCTTCTCTACATCGCTGCATATATTCACTTGATTAGATTTATAAAAGTCTACCTACTGGGAAATAACTAGAGCAAAATATAACAAAAAAAGTTGGACAAAGACATCTATTGAACCTGCGTTGGCTTGTGGGTTAGATTCTTGGCTCTCTAACCCCCCGAGCTTTGCTGTGAAGACGGAATGTATTGAGATGGGGTCAGTGTGTAGAGCGAGGTGAGAAGTGAGGGGAGCAGGCCCATAGGTGTTGAAGGGTGCTGAGGTCACCCAGGTGCAGCTAAAAAAGGCTTAACAAAGACAAGAGTTTAGGAGCTGTGTCGACAGCTCAGTCTTATGTCCCTAAATAAACCAAAGAAAGATGGACCGCTCCAACCAAAACCATCAAGGGACTACCGGCTTTCTTTTGTAAATAAAAAAAATGGAGGTCAAGGAGCCTCAGATTTCAGAAGATTTGACTAATCTGATCCACTCTGAAGACCCAGATCCTCTAAAGAAGACGGAATGAGAGGAATGCATTTAACTGGTTAAAGCTACCTGGGTTAAAGACACTGGGTTTAGATGTGTACTCCTGATCTTAGCATGTTTTCCAGTTCAAACATCACTCGGGCAAATGCTTTTTATGTGTGCAACAGAACACTCTGCGGTCACGAAGCACTGTTATTATATTTAATGGTAGTAATTTTATGTTCTCATCTTTAATTCTTGGGCTAATAATCCACATGATGTTGTGTTTCCTAAAATGCAGCCATAACTCAAAAGATATTTGTGTAAAACAGAACAACAAATATGTGGAGATGGGCTGTTCGTCAGTTCATTTAAACCTGATGCATGACAGTCAGGTTTAAATGAATGCAGGGTCTATAGAGGTACTGTCAGCGTGGACTAAAGTCATTCACATCCATGTCTCTGGTCCAGGTTTCAGCCAGTTCACACTCCTCCAGGAGACTCTGCAGCTGCTCCTCTGTCAGATCTGGGCCCTCATCCTGCAACAAAAGGCAAGATACAATTAAAGATAATAATACAGAATTACACAGAGCTGCCCTGAGGCGGACTCTTAAGAGATGTGGCTGCCATTCTGCGGCATGTCTGATCACCAACATACAGAGACAAGATAGACAAAAGCAATGCTAGTAGAGAGTATAGAACCACCAACTTTAAACTGATGGGTTTAACTACTAATTTCAATAAAATGTAGTTCAGTTTATAATTTTGCTTCCTGGTTGGACATGGGCAGCAGATGTAGCATATTAAGAGGTCATAGCAATAGCAATAGCTGTTACTAAGTAAACACACGGCAAACAAAGGCCAAAGACAAACAACAGTTATTTGACTAATAAAAATATGACATAATTATTTTGTTAAGTTTAAATTGTCTCTGCATTTTAGATGGAAGTTTTTTGTACTGATGACTGTGTAAGGGATTCCTTTTAAGATCTCAACACTATTTCTTGTAATTTTTTATCATTTTTTACTTGATGTAAAACTATGATAAAAATTCACAATAGGTGCTATGCCATCAAACTAAACAATATTTATAATACATTAAAATCTGTCATATGCACTTTGAAGTCAATGAGCAAAAGTTGACTGAACTGCTTGGAAATGTAAATAAGGTTTGAAAATCCCCACTTCCTAAGCTCTTGGCCTTATCATGCACTCGGTGATAAAGAGCCACAGATTCAACTCTATTCTATTTTTCCTAAAACAATGTCCAGGACTCACAAGACGTATACAGAATATATATCCATCTAAAGTCACATTCCTCTGCCTCTCCAGTGCTAATACTAATATTACACATAAATCAAGCGTCCGGAGACCACCCTCTAATATTTAAGGTTTAGGTTAACTTAGGCTGTCTCTTTTCATAAGCCACCTCACAAGTGCCCATTGTGAGCTATAGTTTATATACTGAAGACGGCAAGTACCAGACACATTCCAGTCTGAGGATCCCCAGTTCCATGCAATAATAAGTCTGTACTAGAAAGCTGTTTTTTTTTTTCTCTGTGAACAATAAAGTAGTAGCAGTAGGAGTAGAGAAGTATTTGGACTTTTTTTTTACATTATATATTATAGAAGACTTTTTTTTTTTTACATTTGATCTTGTTTTTGGCCTTAACCTTCACTATTCTAAAACAGGGAGAATATATGATCCTCCTTGATTTGAATGCGTGACACAGCTGATGCCTCATGTCAACCACAATTTGTCTGGAAGCACCCGTATTTTGACTCTTCACTTCTGACTGTCTATAAAAAGCGAGCTACAGATTTTAAAGGCCTACTTGCGTTTAACTAGTACCAGGCTTCTCTCAGTAGTGGAAGGTACAACTAAGTATTTCCAGTGGAAAAGTGTGAAAAATAACATCCCAAGAAAAGCAGAGGGCAATTTACTGCTTTAACATAACGCTGTGAGTGCTTCTAGTGGTTGACCTCGGCTGGCCTTAAGCAGGGCAGGCCATAGGTGTCTGTGGGGGACTTCTCCATGGCTGTCTGCAAGGCTCTTTGAAGACAGTCAAACAAAAGGGAAAAGTGTTTTGGCAGCTTTGGTTTGCTCTGCCCATTAATTATACAGAACACGAATAGAAAGCTACATGAGACAGCAGGCAAATGTATTGGAAAAGGAAGACATAATGACACTTGTGCATGTCCTAAGTGTTGGGGCTTTCCAAAGGTCCAACCACAGATGGAGTCAGGTGTTTGAACCTCTGCCTCCACTGTAGGACCCTCTATGGAAAACTGCATATGATTGTCTGTACTGGCTGAAGCACTAAAATAGAAGCAGGGAAAAATAAATCAGGATTTTGCACTAAGCAGAGGAGAGTCACAGATCCATGAGCGACCTGTGCTAAGGTCTTGTTCACAGACATACATCTTCTGGCAAAAACATGTGAAATACAACTTGAAGGTGGAGAATCTACACATCCACTCCGCTCTCAAGATATCTATTGGAAAAACGACAGTGGAAAGTGAGAGATTTATGGATCAATGGCACATTCTGAACTCTGTTATATAACAGTGCTAAAAGGGAAAATTCTTAAGCCTCATACTGTGTTTTATAGCAATAATAACAATTATTGTTAAAGTGCCAGTATTTCCTAGTGCTGCTGAGCAGAAGCTGATCACCTGCAGCCCAGACCCATTGGGCCTAGGGTGAGCTGTTTTTCTCAATCAGAGCCACACAAAGCCATGACACCTAAAGCAGTCCTTAGAGCGCGCTGTCATTTGTCACTCATTGGTTTAAACAGTCATGAAGAAGAGTTCAGTGTGCTCTTGGCCTTCTGGGTAAAATCCCTGTTCCTGCTCCACACCCAACGGCCACCGGCCGGTCCGTGCAGGATGGAGGAGCCAAGGATCACTCTCTCCCTGCAGCGGTCATCTGTGTGGACCACCAGCCTGCTGCTGTCAGCTCCTGTACACACACACAGCTCCTCAGTTTTCAAGGTCACTGACTCCAGCCTCATACCTCCACTCTATCAGCACAGAGCAGCCAGGGGCCAGCACTAATTCAGGGAAGAATGCTGCTCATCGCTTTCCCTGGAAGACGTAGGCCTGCTATGGTAAACAATGACCTCAATGTAAATATATCATTTCCTTTATATATCAGGGTTTTATATTTGTTATCGGTCACAAACACAGTAAACTCATTAAGATATATGGGGAAAATGCCCTTAAGAAACTCTTGTTTAAACATGCAATCAGATTGTTTATAAAGCCATGTTGTCATCTGTGTCAAATGACCCATTTTAATTGGCCTAAAAATACTAGGTCATTCACTTGTATGGACTGTGGGACTTTTTTACAATATGATTAGAAAGACTTGGTTGGAAATGTGAAATAGAAACTCTGTCACTTTGGAGTCAAACCACAAATTGTCACCAATTTAAATGAATCCTTTAATAAATGACAATTGTGCTGCTGCCATGGTGTTCAACAATAAGATTTAGTTCCAAAACATGACTTTTCGTGCTCCAAACCACCACTTTTACAGATGCATAAAATAGAGAGTTCAGTTCATGTAACTACAAAAAGTGCTGAGACAACAATAGCTGCTGGCCTAAGTGAAAGTTATTTTGGATCACAAAGAGGAGAATGAGGCCCGTGTGACAGGACATAAGTTACTGACAAAAGAATAAGAATACTCCTCCATTGTAGTCACAGAATATGAAAAATAATGGCTGTCGCAAGAATGGAAGTAAACGATGGAAGTAAATGAGGCAGCACATGATCATTATATTACACATTGTTACACAGGCCTTTGAATTGAAAGTTTATAAGTTCAATAGTAGGCCCGTAACTATGACAAATGTTGAAGTGAAAATACTGCAATAAATAATAATATTGATAATAATATCACCGATACAATGAATGACACAATGAAACAAAATTATGAAGGGATCTAAAATGAGTCGAGGATGTAGGACTCAAGCCTTTAAGACCCCAAGAAATACTGTTCATCTGTCATCTATTGAACTTTAAGTGGCTGTAGTATTAAGACTGCACTGTACTGATACTGAAGAGATATCTAGTAGTAATTTTTCTGACAAGTCTTGTGATTTTGAAGACAGATTTGCAATTTATGTTTTAATAGTCGTATTCTGAGTACATACTTTAAACTCATCCAGGACTATCCATATTTGAGAGAAGACTGAAAATATAAATGAACTACAAAACTAATACTAATACAAGAGTCATGTGTATTTTAAAACATGTTTATAGAGGTCTAAGTACTACAATGTTAGTAAGTTGTACACAGAATAAAAATGTGGTATTTGGTTGGTTTTCAGAAGAATACATTTTACATACAAAATTGCAGCCTCTGTGATAGAGAAATCGCATGTCTGTGCTCTACCAGCCCCACACTGCTAACTCAGTCCTTGTTATCTCGGCCTACATCATCAGAGTTATAATACTCTCTATAAAGTCCTTCATGTTTCCATGTCCTGGGTCCTGTACTGGTGGTAAATAAACTTCTCCTGTGTTAGAACTCCAACTGGTTCAATTCACAAACTACTACAATACTCTGCAATTTGCTAATTGCTAATTGCAACTATGTAAATTGCAAGTTTTCCATTTCCTTGTATTGTGCAGGCCTATGCGACAAACTCAGACATTGTTCACAGTGCTTTCGTCAGCAGCGAGATTAACTACTTCTTCTACTCTATGTGATCCAAGTACAAGTACGCAATATGTAATTATGCACATGCAGATAAGAAGCTGAAAATGACTTGTCTTAAACTACCTGTGCACTTTTCTGGAACAAAAACAATTATATTTCATCTTGTCTGTCATTAACACGATTTGATCCAAGCCACCGTGTTCTCAGTAATTGTTGTGAAAGCCCTTTCCGTTGTAGATAAGTAATGTTGCAGGAAAAAAGTAATTCACTCCCTTAGATTAAGTTGGAAATATATAAATAGGCCTCTGATATCTTGCGCTTATTGTTCTTGTGCAAGCATCTGAAACAGAGAGGAAAGGCTATGGCAGCGAGATAGGAAAATGCGGATTTTAAGGCTAAGAGGAGAGATTCTTTGGCCCGTGCTGGTCTCACCGAGAGGGAGGGTTGTTTGGATTGAGAGAATAGAGAAAGCTGGGATGACGCACAAAATTGCTGGTCTCAGATGTAAGTCCAACACAATACGGCTGGTGTTTACATAAATCACTCCGAAAGGTAAATCAGGTAGATCTCTTGGAATAACATTGGGATTCTTCGGGATTCTTACCACAACGTTCTGGAGTCAATCACACAGACACAGAACAGCGAGTCAGCCGTGGCCCCAACTACGCAGGACACTAACCTTCAAATATTTTCCACCTTTACAATACATGTTATACTCTGACCACAGGCAGACTAAACACAGAGCTGTATACTTAACATTTAAAGGGGAAGACCTCTTGAATGTAGTCTTTAAAGAAGCCACTTATGGACCGTGTTACCTCAAGTCACTCTCCCCTTCTGGGATTCACTATTTATTGCTTTAATCCTTGTTATGGCAGAGAAGAAGACAAAATAACCTTTACAATTTGTCAAATAAACCACAAACTCTTAGCAATACACCAGAGGACATACAGGCAAGGTTTAATAAATTGGTCTTTGTTGAAAGTGAAAAACGTGATGGGCCCGTCACACACTAGTTGAAAGCCTGGAGTAATTAAACACTGACAGGGGATATGACAGCTTGGCATGGGCCTGATGGAAAAGAGGGTGAAGCAAGGCCATATTCATAATGGACGTCAGAGCTAGCTAACCTGACATTCAGCAGTTTAATGAGAAGACCAAGAGCTTCTATGAGACACGGGATGTTGAGATGTAAAGTCATCCAGGACAATCAGAGACTAAAAGCACTCACAAAGCATCTAGGACTATCTCTTTCCTTATACCATCCTGAGAAAGACTGGTGTGGTATCAACTGTCAGGTCATGTCTGTATCAAAATTGTGTTTAAAATTTTACTAATGTGACATCAGATCATTTATAGCCAATGAGGCACAGTATATATTATTTAAACCATCTCAGACGGTTGGATCAGTTTTGTTACTGCACTTGCTTCTATTTTGAATGGCATGTTTTGAGAATGTCTTTAAAAACCACAGAAAATGTTAGCTCTAAAAGTGTTTAATATATTTTAGTAATATTGCTGGATTTTAGCTGTCTAAATAAGCACATACAGAGTCATGGTTGTCTGCAAGTAACACTTTTTTTTAGCTATCTCAAGAAATAAAAATGTGTTTGAACTTTCTTTGTTGTTGCAGGGCAGACAGTTTATGGTATTTATTACAACACTTAAAGCATATTTTTCATGTTAAGCTGCTAAATATACCACCGTATATGATGTACTATATGTATATGTATATATAACTTTTCACAGTCTTATGACTTACACGCCCATACATCAAACAGTGGCCCAAAGAAAAGGACTTTAGTCTAATTGAGAGAAACATAACTCATAATGAGCAGAAGACACCCAGTCATGTGTAAAGTGGTGCTCCAGACAGCACTCCGACACAAGCCCCTGTCTCACTGCGGTCTGTGTGCTGAGAAATGTGTCCACACACGCTAACCCTACATCCATGTATATTTTCTCTGAGCCACTGGCCCTATAATATGCCGAGGGTAAAGATTTATTTCCATGGAATCTATCTGGGAGGGCATTCTTGGACAGTTTGACCCAGATCCAAAATGCCGTCAAGTAGATTTGTATAACATCCGTAATTCAGCATTTTTCCAGAGTACTTTTGTACCTTTTGAGATTTTTGTTTTTACTACAATTCTGTGTTTTAAAGGGCCCATATTGTGCATTTTTCTGATCTGTTATGAAGTTATTTCCTCATCAAAAACATACCTAATAAATGGTCACATTTTTATATAGCACTTTTCCACCTTCAAGGCACTCAGAGTGGAATCATTCACCCATTCACACACAGACTCACACACTAGTGTACACAAACATTAGGGGCAAGGTGGGTTAAGTGTATTGCCCAAGGACTGGAGCTGGAATCGCACCGCCGCCAACCTGTGGGTCAGTGGGTCTGACCACTCAATCAATAATGTTTTACATCCAGAGCAGCAGTCGAACCACTAACCTTCTGATCAGTGGTCAAACGCACTTACCCACTGAGTAGCCCTACCTCGAGTTCATTCACACACAAGAGTCAATTTTGCGAAATATTTTAACATGTTCTATCTATAATGTGAGTTTAGGAGACTAGTAGTCCTGCAGAAATTATGCAATATATGTGTCAAAGCCTGAACACTATAACTTGCAAACAAATCAAAATAACAAATCAAATAACTTGGAAATGTGTTTTTTTTCCATATTACTTTTATATTCCAGATGCCGTGCCGGTGCACGTGGGAAAGCAGCCCTCTGCACATTCACTTTGAATCACGGGGACATTCTTGTGTTGTGCCTTTAGCTACACGCTCTGGAGCTGTAATTCTGCCCAGGCTTTAAAACCAAACTTTAAAGGTTTCTAGGGAACGCTGGACTTCACATCTCGGGGAAGAATTTTAGAAAGCAATGAAACACTATTAACAACTACAGCCGTTTTATCTGTGGCCTGACACAGTAGCATAGCAGCATTGTTTTCTCAAAGGCAAACATTAAATTGGCTTGGGTTGACTTTACTGGCTGAAAGGTGAAATAATTATGGGAACAAATCGAAAGTGTGATCTAGTGGGACCCGGTTATTGGCAGTGATGTAATGGTGCAGATGTGAAGGAAGAGAAGGAGCAGTGCTTGTTCTGATGTGGGATACACGTGTCCAGGATGGAGCTGTATTCGTGTTCATGTTCACACACTCTTTTGGATGTTGGCACTCACTTCAAAGATATACGGTGTGTTTTGTTAAATGTATCTTTGACAACCTGTAATTACGGCATCATGACACTTGTCTGTACTGGAGCAGGGTGATTTGGGGCAGTGCATAAAGCAGGCCCTTAACCCTGGAGCATTTTATTTCACAAATAAATGATAGGAAATAAACCAGGCATTAGATTTGATGTCCCTGTTTTTGGTGTGACGTGTTGTCAGTGGTATTTAAAGGTCCTATGTTACATAAAATGTACTCTTGTAAGCTTTAAGTGATGTTATAATGTTATTACCTCACCATCAAATACATGCCTAGAATTGTTTTGTTTCATTCACACATGTTTCAGTAATCCTGGTTTATTAGTATGTCTGCATCTCCAAATCTCAAAGTGCATTGTTCCATCTTTTATTGGCAATTCAGGACTCAAATCTTCCAAATGATTCTAGTGAAGGTGTATGGAGTTTAAAAACACAGCAGAGCACTTCCTGTATTGCTACATGACATCACAAGATGGAACAGAGTGTTTTCCATTTGAGAGAAGAACTCCTATGTTTGTCATGAAGAAACAGCAATATAAATGAGGTCATAAAATGGTATAATATAAGCCCTTTAAGTTTTAATGTGTATTTTCTCTGCATTGTGCAGTCTAAGAGTGTTGGCAAGGTTGGTGGTCAGGGGACATGGTTAAGGTTAGGAGCAGGGTTATGTTTAAGGTTAGGAAAATGGTCAGGGTGAGATTAGGGTTTGGTTGGTTGGCTTTGTATCTAGCACTTAACTTTAGTCACAGCTGATAAAATCTATGCTGGTAACATTACATTGTAGCTTTGGAGAATTTCTGACTCCAAGAAGTCCCAACCCATTTTTAAGTGATTCTTGGATTTTGGGCCCACTTGACCTGTACACCTGACAGCATAACAGATGTACTTCACTATTTTATATTACTTCACTGCACATCACAATATTGATCTAAAAAGGCTTCTCTCTCCTCAAGCCCCTCTCATCAGAGAAGAATCTGAGTACAGCAGATTTTCATTTACATCTTTTTATTTTAGTAAAATGTTTGCACAACATTTTTGAAACCAAGTGTGTAATGGTGGTGTTAGCTGTTTAAATAATCACAATTAAGTACAGAGATGTAGGAGGCGAAAAAGATCTGGTGAAAACAGATATTTTCAGATCAGTCAAGCCTCAAATGTGTATGCATGTGCTAATGATGAGGCAAAGGTCAGAAAAATAGATTCTGCATAATATGTCTCGTTTAAAGTCACTTTAATTTCTTAGTTATTGCCTTGTTGAAATATTTACCTTGTGCTCCTTCGTACTCCTAGCCTGATTCATCAGCCAGTTTCACTTCATGGAAACCATTAGAATTTGTTTGCTCGACGGTAGGCGGGTACTTTTTTATTTAACCAGTCTCTGCTGTTTGGTTGTGACGTATGTAATGCATCGCTAATGGAGCTAACTATATATTAATCTTTTCCCAAATCCCGTAGCATTCCGTAACATTCTCTTTATTCCAAATTTAAATCCATGAGAATCGTTGCCAACACAGAATATATGGCTTTTCGCTGAGTGGCTGGTGCCCGAACTCCCACTTCGGGGGTTCTTGCAAACCATCTAGTGTATTCCTGACCTAGTCACTGGAGAGAAATGAAATTGAGTGGAGGCATTAGGTGGCACAGCCTGGCTATCATACTCCTGCTTCTTGTGGATGAATTGTCTGTATACCTTAAATTATTATATTTAAAGGTCCCGGAGTTGTGTTTAGTTTAATTCGCATACGATTTGAGTAATCCTGATTTATTAATCTGTCTGCACCTGCAAAATTCAAAATGCTCCGTTCCACCTTGTGATATCATGAAGCCATAGTTTTCAAGTTATCAGATACCTTTTATCTTTTGTTTAGTACAGATTGGCAATTCCAGGGCTGAAATTATCCAAATGATGAAGGTGTATGGAGATTATAAACACAGTGGAGCACTTCCTGAGTGTTTTCTGTTTGAGAGAAGCCTAAATATGATTTATATGGTTTGTGTGTGAATAAAGCAAAACACACCTCAATGTTTTTGATGAGGAAATAACATTATAATATATCAGAAAATTGAGTAAAATGGACCCTTTAGGCATTATAAAGTTAGAGTATGGTTTGAGTTAGAGCTAACAAGGCCCACTCAGTGCATGGGAAATAGTGTAAGTGTGATGTGCGATGTCCCCATGTGCGGCTGCCTCCCACTCACACTCACTCACGTCTTGGCTGTGGCTCAGTCTATGCAGCTGCTGTTGAATCTCCTGGAGTCGTCTCTCTTGCCCTCTCCTCTCCCTCTCGTCCTTCAGGGCCTTTTCTCCTGGCAGCGGGTCTCCCTCAGTCCTCCAGCCAGCCTCCGAGCCCTGACACACAGCAGACGCCGCTCTTTCACACAGCTAGCAAACAACTATCACATGTGAACAGAGCAAAGTCACATTTCACAAACCCATGTCATGCTTCATCTCAGATCAATCACTGTGAGGAACTTTTTTCATACTTTCCAACATTTCTGAACGCTTATCTTTGTCATTTTTACCGTAAGTCCTCGCAATGAACTTTTAAGGCAAATCTGTGCCAATTGCCTATTGCCTGTTGCTGGTTTAGAGAATATACTAGCCATAGCCACCAAAAGTAAAATGAGACTTTCTTTATTGGAGCTAAGAAAGTGCAGCACGTCAGTTCTGGCCCTACTCCACGTGGGGTTGCACATAAATCACACGTTTATGGCATACACGTGCACTGGGTTGACTCAATAAGCCACAAGCAGCATCCAAAGCTAACTCCGAAATTGGGTCAGAAGGAAAAAATATGTCTGTAAAAGCATCAATAAAGGGCGGGTAAATGGTGCTATTGTCTTTCGCCCATAATGGATCACTTTTGGACAATTATGGAGGAATATCTAATCCCATTTGAATTACACTTGCAGTTAGAAAGATTTTAGGTCTCACAAAAGACACAATTTCCCACAATCTTACAATCGCATATGATCACGTCAAGACAAATCTTAGTTAAGTGTGAAAATATGCAAGTTTTAGCTTTTTGAACATGCTGTAATAAGAAACATGAATGGGATTTATGCTTAGGACTACTGTTGCAACTTCACATTTTGAACAATAAAAATGTAGTGAAGTGCCCTCTTACACAGTGTTAGGTCAGGACTAGTGTGGTCTGCCAAATAAAAACACAGCGCCAGAGTGGTTGAAACCTCCATCCCTTTTGGTTAGTCTGCATGCCAGTGAGGCCTATGCATGATCTAATAATGTTCAAATTGATGGTTGTTGTGTTGAACGCAGACATCTCTCTATGAGTCTGTGTGTAGCAAAATGGTAGGTTACTGGAGACAGTGGAACATAAGGGAAATTATGAATATAAACACTAAATCTGTCGTGACACATTTAGAGAGGGATGTAATCCAGTGCGGCGGGAAAGTTCATTTGAGTTAAGGCTTTATGCTAAAGAGGGAATCGCTAATGTTTCAAACTACTTTATAAAGATCCTCTTATTGATTATTCTAATCTAACTTACACAAATATGAAGGTATGCATTTTCTAGTTCATATGTACTGCCCCATGCATGCATCAAGTAACATTATGATGGAACTAAATTGGGGCAGTACTTTTGCCATCATCTCCCTATAACATTTTGGCTCCATATAAAATAGTGACCCCGTTGTTCATTTTGCCAGTACTGACTTAATTTTAACCATTTTAACCTTAACCATAATAAACAAACCAGCAAAATAAACAACAATGACAACCTAATGCACACAGGGTTCAGACTTGTGTGATGCCTAATGACGCATGGTTCTTTCATGTGCGTGTGGCCTGGTCTCTTCTCACCCTTGGCTCCCGGAGGGAAATAATGACAGCTTTCATGTCAAGTCTTTAAAGTGGTGATGACTAGAGCCCCTCGGCTCAGACTGCACAGAAAAACTACAAAAGCCAGGAGGCAGTGGAACTGGAGCATTACAACGAGAAACCAGCAAAAATACAAATTAAAGTCTAACATTACCATTCTCACACCACTGAAGACATGCTGATCAAAGTGTTCGTTTCATTTGGATGAGAAGTGCCCTACTTTTATGACTTGTTGTGAACGTAATCAAGTCATCCAAAGGTGTTAAGTGATTAGTTCATATACAGTGCATTCTGTGATCACTCTTCTGGCTCCAACACCTACACGAGGGCAGGTGCGTTTGTGTAAACCAAACCATTCGACCTAAACTTCAATGTGAAGGAAAGATAAACAATTCAAACATCTGGCTCCTACAATTAATGTCCACATTCTTTAGTATAGCCAGCAGTTGTAATTATTCCCTATGGATTAGTGTGGTCCTATGTCAAATGAACACACTTACAACTTAATACAGAAGACTTTTCAAAAAACAATTTTTTGCAGGGCAGTAACCTCTTGATTTATTTTTACGTATTTTTAAACGTAATATTGAACAAACTATTTATCAGTATGAAAACATTGGCATTCACATGTCTCTTTGCGGCTGTGCCAATGGTATAGATGTTATGAATCACTTTTTGGATTAGGGAGAGCCTGTGAGTTACATTTATAGAGCTTAATAGCCTGAGTGATCCCTGTGGTATTTGTGCTTGTCCTCCTGAATAGATTCGAGGTTAGCGAGAGTGCTGTCCAAAAGGCTGAGGCGGAGAGACACCAGACTCCTCCATCTTATCTGGCCATCAGAGCATTGTTGACAATTGGCCCTGCTTTAAGAATGCACTTGTCATGCTTTTGATGAGCTCCAACAACCGCAGCTCTATCTGGGTCACAGGACAGCTGGGAGACCGCACAATTTCACTATTTTTCAAAAGAAGGTAAAATGTCAAACATAATTAGTGTTGGGTGAAAGCAAGTCAGTTGATCAATGTGATATCAAATTAATTCCTTCAAGCTTGGCTCTTTGCTCGTGTCATTAGTTCAGTGCTGCAAAAACGTGAATAATATTACCAAAATGGGTCATTCATGCATGAAATAAAAACTCCCAAGAAGATGTCCTCCGCTTACCTTGGCTCCCTCTTCAATTCATATGTTAAAGTGCAACCTGGATCTTGTAGAGGAATATTTTTGCCATTTTATGATTTACAGATTTAGCTGTTTTTACCAGCATAAATTAGCATACTTATCTTAAGGTCTTTCAAAAATCATTGCTACAAAGGATTTGAGTGTTCAACAGCTGCGTCTGAGGACACATGGATGGCTTTGGTCCTGTGTGACTAAACAAAAAGAATGCTGGGAAATGTGTTAGTGCCACGCGATTGATCCGTAATGACTTCCAAACTTATTCAGAAAGTCAAAACCCAATATACGAACATTTAATAACATTATGTCAATCACATATTAGTCTGTTTGGAGAGTGCATGTAGCTGCTAAGTATTGGTAGCCTGGAGCTTTATCGTGTCAATATTGGTTACATCTGTAGAATGTATTTTTGCCAAATATAACAGCTGGATTGCAACAATTTATTACTAATGTCTACAAACACAAATGCATAAATAGGTCATTTTAAGGGCTAAAGGTTACACTGGAGTTTAGTTAAGACACATGTCAACAGGTGGTGTCCGGGTGAAGCCATCTCATGTCGTGGTAATGCCTGGAATGACAGTGGTAACTGTCATTCCAGGAGGAGACCCTCTAGACCTTGTTTACACATACAAGACATGCAAATAGTCCAGTATGTTGCAAAAGAAGCTGCGCCAAGCAAGTGTCAACAAGCGGATTACACAAGCTACTGCGTGCTCTAAACAAATCAGGAATGGATGAGGCAGACTTTCCAATTAGTTTAAGCATCGCCGACCAAAACATTACTAATAAAAAGAAGACTTTATAGAAGATTTCCGAAAAGATTTTTAAGTGAAGTGGATGTCGTCAGTGTTGTAAATAGTCGTTTGTTTTCACATTCGGGAGCCACAAACCAGGCCTTCCTTCTGTCCTTGAATTATACTGTCTGTAGAGTGTATTAAGTCACTCAGTAAGAAAGAGAAGCAGGCTGGACAAATAATCAAATCAGCATGTGTTCTGCACACAGACATATAGTGTTTATGATGCTGCCCCATAGAGAGCGCTGCACTGTTTTTTCCACTTGACAATGCAACAAGGGCAAGGTTTTAGCTCAGCAGGTAAAAATGTTGTGAATTGTTACATAATTGTGGCTAATGCACTTTCCTAATCTCTTTGCTAACAAGCTTTTCACACATTTTTTGACATCACAGTAAAACTAACGGCAACTAGCATGGTAACAGCACACAAGCATTACTTCCTGGTCCAGAGATTATAAAAACTCTTTATAATTAGATGCAGACAACACAGTGGTCTCTAAGAGATCCTTTCACAATATCTGTACTGGGGCAAAACAAATTTGACTTCATTACATGAACAGAATGTAATGGAATAATACCACACACACACACACACACACACATACACACTCATAAACATGCACACGCACACTGTGTATGAGCCTGGGTATGGGCGCAACATTGAATCAATAAATGCATTAGAAATTAATATACAAAAGGAATAGAATTTTTGCAGCTCAATTTATCTGATTATTTATTGTTTTTGTTTTCATAACCAAAATAGGGTATTAAAAGTGACTCTCTTTCTTTATATGATATTGGATGTGCCACAGTTATGACATAGACAGGGGGTAGGCTCAAATAAGCTTTTGTTTCTGCCTATTCCTTTTGAGCATTGTATTTTCTGTTGTATGTATTTATTTATTTTTTTTTAAATTCTCCTTATGTTATACTGGTAACAGTTTGCTCAAATAAAGGAAATGAAATGAAAACTCGGGTACAGCCCCTTTAACTAGAGATTTTGACATAATACTGATAATAAAAACACAATTATTTTAAATTATTGTAGTGTCTTTAAATAATCTTGTACTGTTGTCTCATAATAGCTTTATAATGGCCTTGATCCATATTAGAGATTGACTGAGACTAATTGATTTACTACAAATCTATAGGAGAGCTGTATAGTCAGATTTTGACAGCAGGTCAGCCAAAATGAAATATCGGTCTGAAGTGAAATTCTAATGCCGATAGCCGAAGCGCTAAAACTGGAAATATCAGCCAGTCTATCTCTGATTTATATCAGAACTATTTAGGAAAGGCCCAACCTTTCATCAGAGAGGATATGATTTTTGACATTCCTACTTGACATGATGATGAATAGTTTTTGGTCCTTTTTTGTACCATTGCAAAATTTAATCAGTGCCTTGGCTGAAGTCTCATTTCCTCCTTCTAGTATTTCAGTAATTTGCAGAAGCCTCTTGACTGCAGAATATTATTACACAGCCGAAAGTTTTAACTAGGGTTTTAGGGTTTGGAATGGGCCTTCTCCAGTC